GTATATATAAGTATTTATTTTTGTGTACAAGCTGTTTAGATTGTCAAAAAGCCTGTGTTTTTAGGGTTATTAACAAAGTTTGTGTACTCAGACCAGTAATATTTGGGGTCACAAGTTTTTACCATGGATATTTTGTGGGTCAGAAGATAAAAAGTTTGGGAACCACTGATCTAAACTACACTCCAACGATGAAATCCAAACGTGTTAAATGTCACAGATCTAATTACAGTTCTGCTCTTGCTGTCTTTCCATCTCCGCCAAACTATTCAGCTTTTGCGTCTCTTTATTTCCTTCTTCCAGTATTTATTTATTTATTTATTTTTTACTGTTTGTTAAATAACTTTGGGCCTCGGTCAGAAAGGCGTTCGGGGGAGTTAGGTTCGAGAGAAAGATGGTACTGATTGGACCAAAGATTGCAGTTACAATTTTAGCCCGATGTCTGTAAAAGTGAGTAAATTATAGCACAGATTTTGTATGTATGTGTATGTGTTTGTATTTTGTAATGCTGATCAGCTGTGGCAGCCATCTTGAATTGGGTTGTAGATGTACATCCACTGCTTCAATTACTTTCTTAAACCTTAAGATTCGTCCAGTGGTTCAATAAATATTTTGCTAACAGACAGACATGGTTAAGAACGCAGTGTTAWATGAAGTATAGGAACCCTACGCGCAGTGTAAGCAGTAGTGTTGAGCACATCCTGTCACGTCCAGGTCCACCTCCTGATGCAGCAGTTTGGCTGCTGTCTCTGGCTTCATGTCCGAGTGGATCTGGTCCAAGTCTTTGGTCCTTCGCTTTGTTTTCCACTTCTTCGCGATGTTCTTCATTTTGTCATTCTTGTGATTTCCTGTTTGTTTGGATTTCCCCATGACGGTATGTGCCGCAGGCCTGAAAGAAACACAAACAAGAACCTTTACTTTAACTTCACCACATAAATATCGGTCAACGCTACTTTACGGCACTGACGCAAAGGAGCCATTTTTGCGAATACTCGTGTTACTGATTACGTATTTCTGATCGTCTTAAAGTCAGTTTACTTCTGAAACCCTCTCAGATCTATTTTCCCAAATTTGCTTACCTTCTACACGTGCAGCCAGAAGAAATTAAATGTATTTCCGGGTCAAAGGATGGTAAAGTTCACCTGTTTAACTGTAGAGGGCGCCAAATACCAACACAATAATCCCGTGGCAAATCACTGGAAAGATCATTTCTGAATGATAAATTATATATAAACACACACACACACACACACACACACACACACACACACACACACACACACACACA